CGGGATGAGGATCAGTGCCTCCAAATCCAAGACCATGGTCTTGAGTCGGTAAAGGGTAGGGTTTTGGTGTGATCTCACACTGATGTTCCTTGATCTTGAAGTTCACCTTTAATCTCTTTAGAAGTTTTTCGGGACTCTTTTGTTACTGTTCATATTATCTGTCTCTTTGATTTGTCATCAATTTTCCTGCTGAGGCCACGTCCAGGGAGGTTGGCTACAGTCCAATGGATGTTAAATTTCTGAATAATATGCAGGGTTTCCTCTAGGATTTTTTTAACCATGCACAGGCAGCTTTTATTTTTTCAGTCACCTGGAAGAGTTTTGTCTTTTATAAAGCTGACAACCCTCTCAAAGGGATTTATTTGGTCTCCCCGGACCCCTTTTTGAGGGAAGTTTCCAATCCTGGATCCTCCAAACTGGGAGCTCATGGCTTGACTTGTCATTTGGCCATAAGCCAGACAAGCTTTTGACATCACCTTTTACTTTTCATTCTTGACCAAAAGGCAACTTGCTTAAACACTCTGAGCTTTGCTTTCAATGGTGTTTTTTTCTTTTTGAACTTTTGGGTTTTGCACACAGAGGCTCATGAGCACATTTCAGCAACACCTCCCTCTGATCCTGAGGATCATCACAAGGGCAGGGGCTGATGACTGCATGGCCTGTGGGATGTCAAAGGGCCATTTTTGACTTTGCCAGGACTCAGAGAGTGTTTAGATGTTTTACCAGGCTCAGGTGGAGGTCCCCTCATCGGAACCTTTTCCTCAGATGAGATGAGCTCCTSTTTAGCTGTGGCACTRGGCCCCTCATCAGAGAGGGCAGACGTACTTAAAAGAAGGCCTGATTCCTCATCCAACAGCACACTGTGTGACCTCTTCCACAGTCTCAGGTACCCCCCTTGTTCCAGGCCACAGGYAGATGGAGGATCTATATCAGAATCCTCCACATTCCTGTCACTGTCAAGGTGACAGAGGCTCCCAGGTGGGTTAACCCGGACTACCAGCCCTTTCAAGCTGGTGTGTGTGACCATAGACTTAAATATGACTAGACTGAGNGTCTTGACCGTTTAGCGTTAGCCGTTAGCTTCACCAGCTGATCACATGGTCACCTGGTTTCTGAGCTCCACCTGTTCTATAGAACCTTCTTGTGTGTGAAACAGGATTTGGTCTTGAACCTGAGTCACATGAATCAGAGACAGATTTTTCAGGGACACTGTTGTCAGGAAGACCAGATGAGCTTTAAGAGTTACACTCATCCTTCACCCGACAAGAGACCCCCTCCAAATCCACCTCTGAGTTTGTGGAGTCTTCACAACAAAGCTCACCTGGAGGTTCATCAGGTGTGTCTTGTGAGARGACCTCAAGGCTTTCAACATAGGTGGGACAAAAATCRTCACCTTGGGACACACCTGAGGTGTCTGCGTCTCTCTCTTTTTTCTTTTACACTGTAAACAACAAGAAAAGGCTCTTTAAACAAGAACAAGCTCAACTTGTCTGTGGGAGAAGTGCTTTTAGGGAGACACAGACACCGGTTTGTCTGTGAAACGGAGCACAAACACAGAAAGATCTCAGCAAAATGGCGCAGCCTCTACTCAGGTGAGGGAGCACGTCGTTTCTGTCTTTAAACACGAAAACAACAATAAACACAACATGTGATGTGCACGTCTTTGAACCCTTCTGATTTCTTTTTAAAGCTTATTTTTCTAACAACAACAATGGACACAAGATGTCTTTAAGGACAGACACTGAAGGCAGTCTCCTCTGTTTACTGAACAGAGAGAACATCAGTTCTCAGCTGCAGCCATAATCCTACAGATAAGACACGGACCTTTTACACAACTTTTCACTCCTACCAAAAACTCACAGCCCTCACAGGGGTGAGCTGGCGTTTGAGCCTTTCCATCCAGGAACAGCTCATCAAAACACGGAGWGTGTGAAGTTAAAATATCAAGCTGGAACACACGGCTTAATAATCAACACCACGGCAGTACGCAAACACAGCCTGGAACACGCAGAACTGGTTTGTCGTCCGCCGGGATCCCCAAAAGTTAATGTGCACCAAATGATTCTTTTCTTTTTTCCTCTTATTTCTTTTTTCTTTCCAATGAAGCTTCWTCAACAACAATGACAAACAAACAGCTACTTATGCCATAGAAATGTGCGCATTTGCTTCCTTAAAGGGCCAATATTATGTGTTTCTCAGGCATATATTTAAATACTATACCATAATAAAGTATCTATGTCACCTTTAGCTGTTATTAAAATGTTGTTTTTATGTTTAAATAGAAAATAAACTTATAATTGGCCTCTGTCGCTTTAAGAACCACTACCG